ATTTCTATTCTCATTAGATACAGAAACATACGTACTTACCTCCTCTCACACTATAGTTTTAACTAGATGAAAGATTCACTTCTCTGCCCATCTAAGCATTTGTATGAATCTTAACTCACTTTCTTCAGACTTATACCCCACTATACACTATAATTTATAACAGTTAGTACAGTTTATGTAACACAATATTTTAAGTAATGCTCTCAGGTTTTAAAACTGTCACTTAATATCTGTAATATTTCCTATTGAAATCGTAGAAAGTCTTATTAGTGATTGCTCAGATAGTAAAAAAATAAAACTTATCATTTTCATTAGTATAAGTAATCCAAGTGTGTGTTTAAAGATATTAAATGGATTAGTTACCATTGTAACAGACTCAAAACTAGTTTATACAGAAGGTTATATTAGTTTTGAGAAACTTTGCAGCAAAGGTTAAGTTTAATTTTGAAAGGAAATATATTACAGTATATTCTGTTGTTTCTTATTGAAACTTTTTATCTGACTCGTATTTGATGACTGACTTTTTACTTCATTTTATTTGTTGTGCACTTTTCTTGATGAAATATCAAATTTGTAATGCTAATGTACATGTTATTTATTATGGTTGTTTTGACTAGTTACTTATCTATTAGTTCTAAGTATTTTTGTTGAGTTAGAGGTAAAAACATACTTAATTCTATCTCAGTTATGAGTGTGTTTTATTAGATATTATTATACTCCTTACAGATTTGAAGAAATTGATAAGAAATTCAAGCTCCTCATCAATGACATGGAGAAAACCACCAATGTAATTACTGCAACTAATCAAGATGGTTTATATGAGAATCTAGAAACTATTCAGGCAGAGTTAACTTTGTGTGAGAAAGCTCTTGCTGAATATTTAGAGACTAAAAGATTAGCATTTCCTCGGTTTTACTTTGTCTCTTCAGCAGATTTACTTGATATCTTGTCCAATGGAAATCAACCAGAACTGGTGAGTTGATCAGATAAGAATATTTGTTGGGATGTATCTGTTTGACTATAAGTTCTATACTGGTCAGTGGAAGCAGATAATGAATCAGTCCCATGTTTCATTGTTTGTTACGATACATCTGTTTGACTATAAGTTCTATACTGGTCAGTGGAAACAGAGAATGAATCAGTCCCATGTTTCATTGTTTGTTACGATACATCTGTTTGACTATAAGTTCTATACTGGTCAGTGGAAACAGAGAATGAATCAGTCCCATGTTTCATTGTTTGTTACGATACATCTGTTTGACTATAAGTTCT